CCGGGGGCGGGTTGTGGCACAGTAACTGATTTTTTTTTGTTGTTTTTTTTTTTTTGAACGCTTCCTTCATAACATTAAAAATTCATTAATTATTATTTGTCTATTCGTTTGGCTATGTTTTCTTTTCTGTTGCTTTCTTTGGTTTAACATTGATCATGTTTCACCCTGTTTTTCATTCCCCCTGTCTGCAATCAACTTCTTCATTCCAATAAGGCTGGGCACAGAGTAAGTTTACTCCTCTTGGCTGTTGCTAACACTGGCGGTAAGGGCTTGTTAAAGTTCCGTGGTGATGTGAACGTGGGCTGATACATACGAGATAGGAAGCGGCTGCTGCTCAAGCCAAGTTCATGTACCTAAATTCCTGGTCAAAGCCAGATGTTGTATCATACTTTGTCATTATTTTTTGTTACAGATACATCTGATTATTAAACACTTGATTGTTGTTGTTGTTGTAGTCTTCTAGGCTTTTCTTTAATTGATGGGAATTGAAACATGATTCGCAGGAAAGTATGTGGCCTGCCTATTCCTCAGCAGAGGAAAAGCTCTGCTGACTTCAGTGGGGTTATGTGTTTTAAGGGGCAGCATAATTTGATTAAGTATTAAATGCATAACTACTATTGCCTGCATAAGTCCCTTAAACATCAGTAAGAGAATCCATCTATTGTTACTTTGTTACCATCAAAATCGCTTCTTATGAACGCATATTTTTACATGCTTTAAAGTATACTGTCTCTAGACTGATACCAGTAAGAGTATTTTTCACTTGGAATTCTTAGAAGGCCATCAAAAATATGTCTTTATTTTTCTGTCCTGGGCTTGTTTTAAATTGTTTAATTGTTTTAAAACAACTCACAAGTTAAAAAATTTTTGTATTGCTTTACCAATCTGTTCTCCAAAGATGCTTGGCTTTCATGCTAGCTCTGAGGCTTTATTAGTTAAAAAAGAAAGGGAAAAAAAAATTCTCAAGCCTTCTCTGCCTTTTTTTAATGACCATCAGCATGAATATAGTTGCATGGGCTAAGAATAAAAAAAAAATAGCAAATATTTAAAAAGGTAACTTTATAGTGTAGTTACCACTGTTATACATATATGTATATGTGGATTATATGTTTTACAAACACATTTGATGGCTGTCATTTTAGGAAGTATCTTACTAAGAAAGCATTCTGGTTGGGAGATAAATAGTTCCATACTGACAGAGACAGTTTGTCAGGGTAACAGGGATGACTGTCTTTAGATCCAGTGTTTCTATGGTGTAGTAACATAGTACCCATGCTTTACAGAGCTTTTCATGCCCTTTTTGCATAATTAATTTTTTGCTACTTTGCTTGCATTAATTATTTCTTTATTAGCACATTTAAAGCCTGTGATATTAAACTATTGTCTTACTTCATCTAAATCCTTAACTTTGAAGCCCCAATCCTATGAATATATCTGGTAATGGAAACACTGTATGTGGTAGTCTGGTTTATCTTTGGTGCAGTGTCATGTTTAACAAAAATATTGTTGTCTTACTCTGCTGCTGTTCAGTGTTTCCTACAATAATGGCTCTGATCAAGCTTCCTATTCTGGTTAACTCATAACACATTGCACATTTGCATTTTTATTACTTTTTATGAGGAAGAATAAATAATTAAAGTAAAAAAAAAATTGGAAGAAGGATTTTTAAAGGGAAGTGGCCATAGTTTATCCAGGTCTGTGCTTGAACAGATGTTAGAGAGGTGTCTTAGTTTTTTGTAAATGTTTAAGAAAAAAAGCTGGGACAGTTTACTGTAGCTCCTAAGTTTGTGTAAATTACATGAAGTAGTAATACATTTCTTTTATTATACCTTGCAACTGCTATCATAAAAACAAAAAAAACCTCTGCAGACCTTTGTCTTTTTAAGGCCCTTCTCTCAGCACCATTCTATGTTAATAGGGGCCATTGTTTTCCCTCAAATATACATAAATTCCATCATCATTTAATTTTTTATTTTGGTAGCTTTTACATCAAATGCAAAACTATGAAACTGAGGAAAACATTGGCATGCTTCTTGCTTCCTAATGATTCTTGCTGGTCTTTCTCAATAAGGATCCATAACGATCTTTCTTTCCTGTCATGACACCTGATAAGTTGGTGTTAGTATTAGGAGATCTTCACATTCCACACCGATGCAACAGCCTCCCAGCTAAATTCAAAAAACTGCTGGTTCCAGGAAAGATCCAGCACATCCTCTGCACAGGAAACCTCTGCACCAAGGACACTTATGACTACCTCAAGACTCTGGCTGGGGATGTTCATGTTGTGAGAGGGGACTTTGATGAGGTATGTGCCTCTTTACAGAAAGGTAATATTTAGGTTATTTGTAACTTAAGTAAAAGCGGGCAAACTGAGCATACATGACATTAAGAGTACTATGAACATCAAATTGAGCAAAAGAGTTGGGGTTACGATCAATAGTGTGACTTGCCCAAGAAGCAATTTGTGTAATTAGCCAAGTCTAGGACTCTGGCAAACAGGATGTGCTGTTGTCACACCACTGAAGTTCTTTGACTCTTAAAAAAGTTCTCAACAGTTTTCGTGAATGCAGCTTTGTAGCGCTCATTGTGCAGCAATAGGGCCAATTACAGAGTATTTCCATAAGCTCCTCACTCTTGGTCTCACATAAGTATTTTTTAATAAAGCTTGTATAGCTAATTGACTTTTTTTTTTTATTTTAGAATCTGAATTACCCTGAACAGAAAGTTGTAACTGTTGGACAATTCAAAATTGGGCTGATTCATGGCCATCAGGTTATTCCTTGGGGTGATATGGCCAGCCTGGCACTGCTACAAAGGCAGTTTGATGTGGACATCTTAATTTCAGGACATACACACAAATTTGAGGCATTTGAACATGAAAACAAATTCTATATCAATCCAGGATCAGCTACAGGAGCTTATCATGCCTTAGAGAAGTAAGTGAAGTATGGGAAATATCTATGGGGATTTTCTGTTAACGCTTTTTATTGTAACAAATTGAATAACAGTAATCATTGTGAAGGTTAGTGTTTGTGATTTTAAATGTCATGGCTGGGGGGTGACAGTGCTTGCCAAATCTCCCTGACTGAAAGAAATGATAGTGAAATACTTAAAGCTTAGATTTAGTGTACTGTGCTTACAAAATTCAAATCCATGTTTCTTGGAGTGCCTTCTGTTAAGAAGTCTAGTAGTCAACCATTAAGGCTAGTATATTCAATTAATGTATCAATTTTCCCCCCTTCTTTCTAGCAACATCATTCCTTCATTTGTGCTGATGGATATCCAAGCTTCTACAGTCGTTACATATGTTTATCAACTAATCGGAGATGATGTGAAAGTAGAAAGAATTGAATACAAAAAATCTTAGTGTCTTTGCTTGTCTGGTATTTTTACCATCTCATTCTTGAACTGCAAGTTACTGCAAGACTCGATTACTAGTTTACAGTACTACACTTACTTGCTAACAGCTTAACAATGTAGCTCATTAGTATCAACTTCAAAACGTGTTTGCTTATTTTCTCTTGTATGATTTGATTTGTAAAAATATCCCATTAAAATAACTAGTGTTTAAATACTATTCCTTAACATTGTAATAAACTCTTTTCACTTCATAGAAAAACCTAAGTTTTATGAACCACTGCTGAAAAGTGCAAGTTATACAAATGCAAGTTCTTAAAGTGTCTGGCAATACCTTTTTTGGTAACGCTTAACAAACAGCCTGATGTTTGGTTGGTGATTTATGTCTAAAGGATAAATTTAGCATAAGGCTCTTCTAACAGGCTTAAACACATTAAAGATTGAGGTTCTGGGAGGCATGTTAGGTTTGCTTCAGAATACATTTGATTTCTCATTCCAAATTAAGTTGAAAGAATAAATGGAGTGGTAGATTCTGAAGAGATTAGAATCAACTCACAACAATAGTAATTTAACTGCAGAAAGTTAAATTCTGTGTTTAGTAAAATCACTAACTGATTTTAATGAAACTGAGTTTCACTAATTGGAAGTAAGTGGTTTAGAACAACTTTTATGCTTTACTGAAGGATGTTCTAATTAAATCTGTAATGAGTAAAGAGAGGCTTTCTTTTACTTGGCTTATATATATATTTATATATCTGACACTATATATACACACACTTTCCTCCATATATAAGATTTTAAAAATAATGTAATTCCATGTGGCACTTGTACCACTACTGAAGACTAAGAAACTGAGTGTTCAAGAGGGCTGGAGCTTTTGACGGTCCTACTCTCAGCTGGCTGTAGGGAACTGAATGTATTTAACAGCTCCCGTTTTTCTTGGCTGCTAATTTTCCAATAAAGAGAGTTTTATCTTCTGTCTTCTACAGAAGAATGTTTAGCATTCAAAAGCGGCTTGTTTCCTTTGCATATTTATGACTCTTATCAGTGCAGTATTTGTGAAAAGCTGTACAGTATTACCATTGTTATGAAAGTTTGAGTTAGATTAATGGGTTAGCCACAAAACTTAAAGAATCAACTAGGAGCCTTACTTCTGTGTCACAAGCTTTGACTCAATACCTTGTTTCTAGTCACACTAAACTTGCTTTACCTTAGAAAAAGCTAAAGCAGTTCATTCTAGTCTCCCAGGGGAAAAAAATTAAACAATATGATGTAGGTTTGGTTAACCTGCAGGTATTGCAGTGAAATACATGCTTATTCCTCTAGCTTACTAGGGAGCTACAGAAAGAACAGTTTACAAAGAAAGCTTTCACAAATGTTAGTTTTCATTAAGAAAGATCAGTGAGTGAGTACAATGTGAACTTATTGCAACTTCGTCATTAGAAAAAAAAAATTACAGAACACTTTAAAGCCAAAATCAATTCAAAAGTTTATTTATGCTCACTGTAATTAAAATTAGGATTTGTCTACAACGTGTATTTACATGAAGTACATCAGCACTTAGAGTTTAAAAGAGTTTAGCACTATCACAGAAGGTGATGTTTACGTGAATGAGAAGTTTTAGAGCGAGCCTGACAACAGACTTAGGAACATGGAGAAATAATATAAGGTTAATGGAAAGAAAGTTTAATTCATCTGAATATCAAAGTGCTGAATAAGAACCTTGCTGTTTAAAAAGAAACAGGAAATCCTGCTGTCAATCTAAACTGTTTCAACAGGGCTAGAATATTTCTGCTGGTAAGGAGAAAAAACAGCCTAGATCAGTTAAAAAAAAAAAAAAAAATCGAAAAGCTTGTGGTAGCTTTAGGTTTAGCTAAGAGCATTAAGGTTTTCAGTCACTGTTAGTTGACGAGAACATGTATTCCCAATGAATATCACTAATCATGCCAGTAGAGGGAGAAAAGACAAAGGGTAAATGAAGACTTTATCAATCACAGGTCTCAGGTCCATTTTGAAACACCTGGAGGATAAGAAGACAGTATTAATAGAGTTTAGAAAAGCTAGATATAATTTAAGTCCTGTAAAAGTACTTAAAGGTGTAATGCTTAGCACTACATAGATTTGATTAAAATATATTTTATTTGAGTCAGTAAATGAATACTTTACTGTATACAATATATTTTACTAAAATATTGGCCAACTAGCTTTTAGCAAAAAGAGTTAAGTGAAAACCTTAGTTTAGATAAGTAGTTGTTTCCCTGTTTCAGGTATGATGGTGGTTTGTTTTACCTTCAGAATATCAGAAGGTGATGCGTCCACTAGAGCAGGATTTCCACATTTCTCTTGATACTCTTGTATTAAGGCTGTTGCATCATCAACGCTGTAGGAGGCAAAAAATTTTTTCAACTTCATCAACTGAAGTTCTCTTAAAAAAAAACCAGCGGAACCTGATAGGTATTTCTAACACTTGAAAATACTCAGTGGCCAAGCCACTCCTAAATCTCAAGTAGAGGCAACTTGTTTATTGTTTTCAAAGTGTTCTCACTGCTGAAGCTGCAAGTCTGTGATACTACTAAGCTAAACTCATCGGAAGATAAGGTAAACTGATTCAAAGCGAAAATGTTTGCTGTTTCAGTCAGGTTACTTCTGCTATTTTAACAGAGTTTGATCTGCTTACAACTTTAGGGGTAATCTGATTCAAACCACACTGTAAAGCTGTCCTCTATTTATGCAAAGTAGTAAGGAGAGTTTTTTTCTTGTTTTTAAATTTTTTTTTTTTAAACCTAGAAATACTTTCAAAACTCTTCTAAAGTACTTAAGATTCTTAAGTATTGAAAAAGCTCCAGGACTTTTTAGTAACTAAAACCAAAATAAAGAAAAGATTCAGTTTGACTTGCATCAGCAATGCATCATTTGTTTTACTTTCTATCAACCTACCAGTCCTTGCTGGCAAAATAATCCACCAGTTCTTTAATTCGGTGAGTATTCATCAGTTGCTGCTTCAACAGTGGAAAATACTTAGTTTTCAAAAATTTTTCATATAGCTTGTCATTTATGATGTTGTCCAAAACCAAAGCTCTAATCTGAAAAGTAGCAGATACAAGTTTTAGTAATGGAAAAGTATTAATATTTTAAATATAAGAAGCTTGACTCTTGAATAATAATAAGAAGAGCTCAGATTTTTCTTGCCACATTACTGAAATGAGCAGAACAAACATTTTGTAGTGCTGCAAAATGGCAAATTTTTGTGCAGACTAACCTCAGGTTCAGATAGGGCAATGAGTTAAGAAACTTGCCCTTAGGAAGTCAAGGGAAGGTAAGAGAGAATGCAGTTTTGTGAGCCCTTTGGCTTTTTTGCTTAAAACATTAATTTAATATAAAGTATTCCCGCTGCCAACAATGCCGTCCTACGAATAGGGACAGTCTGTAACACAATATGGTGTAAAAAATACTGGCCAATGCGAAAATCCCTGGAAATATCACTGCATTTTGCCAACTGATGCTTGGCAAGATTGGGTAGAGAGGAAAAGAGGTTTCTATGTACACTTACCCATCAAGAAAACCTGTGAATCAAAGGTAAGAGAAATATGTTATTTATTTACCTGAGAAGCAAACCCCACTACTTCTCCAGTGTTCATATGTTCATCTATTTGTTGCAGTACAGTTTCTGTGTTACATGTTGATAAGAAACCCTTGCAAAAAAAGATACAAAACATCATTCTTTAAAT